CCTGGGGATAAAGAAGGATGGATTGTGACTTAACGGCAATGTGTTTGTGTGTCAGCTTGAAAAGGGGTCAGTTGTGTTGGTTACATTTATGTCAGCTTGACACAAGCTACAGTCATCTGAGAGAAGGAACACAGTAGAGAAAATCTCCCTAAGACTGTCTGTGGGCCAGCCTATAGAGCATTTCTGTAATTAGTGACTGGTGGGGATGGCCCAGCCCATTGTGTGGGTGGTGCTGTCCCTGGGTTCTATAAGAAAGACTGAGCAAGCCACAGGGAGCGAGCCAGTAAGAAGTCCTCCTCTAGGGTCTCTGCATCAGATCCTGCCTTCAGGTTCCTTCCCTGTTTGAGTTCCTGTCCTGACTTCCTTTAATAATCAACAATGACATAGAAGTGTAAGCCCAACACACCCTTTCCTCTCCAACCTGCTTTTGGTCATGGTGCTTTATCAGTGCAATAGTAATCCTAACTAAGACACAAATAGTCTTAGTTAGGGTTTCTATTGCTGTGAAAAGACACTATGACCAGAGCAATTCTTATAAAGGAAAACATTGAATTGTGGTGGTGGCTTACAGTTCAGAGGTTCAGTCCATTATCATCATGGTGGGGAACATGGTGGCATGCAGGCAGACACGGTGCTTGATCAGAAGGCAATAAGAAGTGGACTGTGACACTGGGAGTAGCTTGAGCACAGGAGAACTCAAAGCCCACCCCCACACTAACACACTTCCTCCAACAAGGCCACATCTCTTAATAGTGCCACTTCCTTTGGGAGCCTTTTTTTTTTTTTTTCAAATCACCAAAGTTGGTAGAGTAAGTAAGATCAAAAGTTCAAGGTCATCCTCAACTACTTACTGAGTTCAAAGCCAAGTCTTGCTACAGAGAATCCTATCTCAAAAACAAAAATCAAAAGAAAATCATATATGTGTGTAAAATATATAATGCATAGATACAATGCTTTTAACTTTATAATTTCTCCAATCTCAAAAAATAGACTTCTTGGGCTGGATAGATGGCTCAGGGGTTAAGAGCAGTCACTGATTGCTCTTCCAGAGATCCTGAGTTCTGTTGAAATAGGAGCGGCGGGGCTGCGTCCCCAACACCCCGGCCGCTTGGCTAGCTCATGCCCGAAATGACAACACACAAACTATATTCATTTAAGAACTGCTTGGCCCATGAACTCTAGCCCTTACAGGCTAATTCTTGCACCTGGACTAGCCCATTTCTAATGATGTGTGTAAGCACCCCAAGGTGCGCTTACCAGGAAGATTCTAGCCTCCGTCCATCGTGGATCTGAGCTTCATGCATCTGCCTCAGAGTGCAGAGCTATCGCGTCTACCCGGGAGAGCTGAGCATGGCGTCTCTCCGGAAACAGAGCAGAGTCTGACCTCACTTCCTCTTCCGCCCAGAATTCTATTCTGTTTACTCCTCCCATCTATGTTCTAAGCCATGAGGCCAAGCAGCTGGTTTATTATAACTTAACCAATGAAATCAACAGATTGATATATGACACTCCCACATCAGAGTTCAATTCCCAGCAACCACATGGTGGCTCACAACCATCAGTAATGAGATCTGGTGCCCTCTTCTGGCATGAAGGCATACATGCAGGAAGACCACCGTATACATAATTAATAAATAAGTCTTTAAAAAATATAGACGTCTTCATTGATATAATGCTATTTTTCATTTTGGATATTCCTTGCTCCTGAGTAGTGGCTAAAACACACTTTGATTTACATTTAGCATTTATTTGGCAATTCTTTTATTTTATTCATCAAACAGTTAAGATGTGTTTGGGGACCCTAATATCCTTTAATGGTCTCAGAAACTTTGGGAGTATAGAAGAGGAAAAATTTCAAACTGTTGATAAAATCACTTGCCATTTAAAGACTGACAATTAGACAGCATTTTATTTGTCTGGAGATTCTTTTTGGTCAAATCCAATTATTATGAATCCAGCAGCAGAATTCAGATGAGATCTTTATGCAACCAAAACAGGTGTCACTGAGATTGGGCAATTAAACTCCCACAATTTACTCAAAGCAGCTTTCCACTGAGTGCCTTCTTTAGGCATAATCACTGGGCGACTATTTTCATCTCATCCCTAAAATACAGCAATCAGAAGCAACAATGAAGAGTGCGGGAGACGGCGAGAACTCTAGCCTCAGAAGCATGGGGCAGACCAGGTGAGAGAGGCCGGGCCAAGAGACGCAAACAATGGGGCCTGGAAAAGTGGCCAACAAACTGGACAGCAGACATGCATGGAAAAGCACAGCAGCACACGTCTACCGAGGCCAGGGCGTCTCCAGTGGGAGCCGGAGTAGAGAACACTGCAGCATTCACTGCACTGGGTCTACCTATGCCCGTAGAATGGGATCCTGAAAGGGGAAGGCATCTTCATTCTCTAAGAAGAATGCACGAAGTAACTGTTCTCCAGGGACTTACTGAAGAGGAATTACCGAAGGAAATACAGGTTGTGTCTTCCTAATGGGAAAATCCTTATTTTGTAATTTTCATGTGTATGGTGTTTGTATGTATATGCATGTTTTCATGTGTAAGGGAACACATTTGTGTGCATGTGGGGCTTCAGGTTCATGCTGGAAATCATCCTCAATCACTCTTCTTCTTCATTTATGGAGGCAGGGCCTCTTTAGTCAAACCCAGAGTTCACCTACATGGCTAGTCTCTGGCCAGCCTGCACTAGGGGTCAATCCAGTCTTCGTTTTCCAAGGCTGGCATTACAGATGAGTCTTCCCTTGTCCTGGCATTCTCTGTGTCCTCAGGATCTGAACTCTGGTCCCCACGCTTGTGTGGCAAGTGCTTTAGCCACCAAGCCATCATCCCCAGCCCCAGAGAAACCTTATTTTGGACTCACTTATCCTGCTCACAAAAGGCTTCCCGTGAATGAATATATATGTATATACTCTAAGCCAAGTGCCACACACATGCTTTGCTAACTTTAGCATAAAGAAAAATCCCTTTTATACTTAGAGAAAACAAAAAAGAGGAGATGGGCAACTCATTTGATTTAATTTTAAGACAGCAGTCTTTTTCTTTTTTCTATCTTATAGGCAACAAACAGCTTTTGATCCACCCCCGTACTCACCCAGGTAAGCTAATTTCACTTCTTTTTTGGCCATGGCGATCAAAGATTTTAACAATACAGTCAGCTCTGAAAGCAAGTAGAATTTAAAAGTTATTTAACTATTTCTCTTATTTATCTAAAAAATTAGGATCTATATCAGTTGACTTCAATGTTCTCTCATGGTAGTTTTTAAATTTGTATTTTGAAAAGTTGTGATCAAGGAAAAGATTCTGTAAACTGTAATGTTAATGAGACTGAAGACTTATTTCAACCAGAATTTACACTAAAGAGGCAGTACAGGCACGGGTAAGGTGTGGATACATGTGCACACAACCATTATTTAAAATATTCACTTTTTTCTTACCCTGTTACTGCAAGGAAGTTTCCAGATGATTTTTGCCAGGCAAACTGTATTGGTGCACCCAGCCATGTCTTTTCCAGCAGGGAGAAAACACGCTAAAAAAAGAAACAATTTTTACATTTCCAAAACAATTATGAATTGGTCAGGAAATATGTCAAAACTTAATCATGCAGATATGTAAACTACAGAATGAATGTGTTTATTAAAAAAATAACAATGAGAGCCAGGTATGGTGGCATACACCTTTAATCCCAGAACTTGGCAGACAGAGGGATCTCTAGCAGTGTGAAGCCAGCCTGGTCTACACAGTGAGTTACAGGCCAGCCAGGGATACAGTGTAAGACCCTGTCTCAAAACAAACAAAAAATCAACAATAAAATAAAACATAATCAACCAATCAAACACAAGTAGTTTGTGCAGCAGAATGGACTTTTTGGTAGTTAGCTTTAATTGTTGGCACAACCTAGAGTCATCTGGAAAAGGGGTCTCAATGAGGGCCTGTCTCAAGTTAACTGATGTGGGAAGACCTGCCCACCAGTGGGAGGCACCCTTCCCTAGACAGCGGGTCCTGAACTGTAGAAGAGAAATGACTGGGAACAAGCAATGCTTGGATCTACTGCCCTCCACTTTTGACTGAAGATGGATATGCCTGGCTGCTCAGTTTCCCGCCACCGTGCCTCCCGTGCCTAGGGGGCTGTAAGCTGGACCTGTAAGATGAAATAAGCCTTGATCCAGATCCACTCAATTCTTCCTCTCAGGTAAGTCTATCACAGCAACAGAAATGCAACTAGTACAGACCTCAACATAAAACAGCAACCGGGTGGTAGTGGTGCACGCCTTTAATCCCAGCACTCGGGAGGCAGAGGCAGGTGGATCTCTGTGAGTTCGAGGCCAGCCTGGTCTACAAGAGCTAGTTTCAGGACAGTTAAGACTGTTACACAGAGAAACCCTGTCTCAAAAAAACCAAAACCAAACAAACAAAAACCCCCAAAAGATAAGAGATTATCACACAACTTCTTTTGTTTGTTTTGAGACAGGGTCTCCATATGTAGCTCTGGCTGGACAGTAAAATGCTATGCAGAGCAGGCTGCCCTCACATTCACAAAGACTCACCTGCCTCTCTCTGCATTTTTAAATGTTTCCAGTCGTTAACTTTAGAAAAACACATCACAGTGCTTTATGCATACCGAAGGAATTTAAACATGAGTTTCTTAATTGTGACCCATATTTGGGGGATTAAATTTAACAAATTATTTAAGTCTTGGATGATTACAATAGACCTATGTAAAATGCTTACAATCCCTTTAAATTATCTGCTTTAACCCACTATTATACCTATTTCTTCATTTCTTTTTCTTTTTTTCTTTGTCTTTTTGAGACAGGGTTTCTCTGTGTAACAGCTCACAGAAGTCAACCTGCCTCTGCCTCCCCAAGGTGTGGGCAACAATGCTGGCTTCATGGATAATGTTTCTGTTGATTACATGTTGAAATAAATTTTGGAGATACTCAAACAAAACATATTATCTGTTTCTTTAAAAACCTTATAGTTGCTAAAAGTTAGAAATTTTAAATTTCATTGATTTATATTCTTATATCAGATTCCAAATCTAGACTAATTGGGAACATGATCCTACATGAAAAATATCAGATTTAAAAGGCCACCCTTATCTAGGTAGACGCAGTTTCTATACTATTGCAGACTTGGGGCTGAGTGGCAACACAACTCCTCCAATGCTTTCTGAACACATTCTGTATCCACCTCCTGAAGGCCAGTGTCCTGGGATCGCAACTCAGAAGTAGAGATGTGCTATGATTCCAAGCAAATACAGGTTGTCCAGCATGGACACGCACACGCATTTAACAACATCTTACTCCCGCAACTGTGTGACGACGTTGTCGGCAAACCTTATTTTATTCCCTTCATGGCAGATCTGCCTTGGGCTGTGGTCTTACAGGTTAGTTTTCTTCTCCAGAGCTCTATAGCCGCTCTAGTACAACCTAGAAAAGTTACAGCTTTCCAACCAGAAACCCAAAGCTTTGCTTCTTATGTATTGGCTATAGGCAACTCGCTGTAACTCTCAGGCGAAGGGTTCTCAGCTATAAAGAATTTGCACTTATCTGATACATCACACCAGAAAGCGAATCACATCTGAAGCGAATCATGCAGAATTATCTGTCAATCCAACTGACCCAAAAGCCACCGTGAAGCTTTAGGAAAAAGCGAAAACCATTTTCAGATCGGCGTTTCCATTTCTTTGCCAGAGCAGGGCAGGGTAGGTATCGCTGAGGAAAATCAGGAGCAAAGAAGCTGCAGCTGTGGGATTCGCAACAAATCCGATCGTAGAAAACCTTCGTGCAGAAGACGCCGCACACAAGTGTGCAGATTTAGGTTTCTCCGCCATGTGTTAGCGACCAGCAATTTGTACACTGGGTTGGTCACAGGCGAAGCAATTTTTGAGACTTTTCATTCTCTCTAGGGCTCTGGGCCAGTGGCTTGGCTTGCCTGGTGCTGAGCCACAAAAATGAGGCAGCCTGAGGCACAGGGTCACCTCCTCAGCGACCCGTCCCCAGCGCTGAGAAGTTCGGGCATCCTCAGCTCCAGGCTTCTAGTGGGTTCCGGAGGGCACAGGCCTCCCTCTCCGCCTGCTTTCAGAACGTCCTTTCCCCTCATCCCTACAACCCCCTCCCCCTCCCTCCCGCTCCCGGGGCGCATTCCTTCACCCCTCAGCACTCCCGCGGAGGGACGGGGACACAAACTACTCAGAGTCGCACTGCGAGATCTGAGGAAACCAGCGGCGGCCGCGTCTTCTCACCCCGCAGGCTTTTGTAAGTTATTTACCTTCATTTCCAGGCTCCAGTGGCACCCCCGATCTTGCTAGTGCGCAGGCGCACCAGAACTCCCCCGCCAGGCTACCGCGTTCCTGTCACCCAGGAGACCATGCAAATAGCAGCCAATCAGCGAGCGCGGGGCGGGGCTTTTCTGGCGTCTTCCTTTGAGAGAGATGGGCAGGGTGGAGAGAGTCACGTGTGGAGGCAGGAAGTTGAGGTCACGAGGGCTGGTCAACTTCCTGTCTGAGCTCTGATTGGGTAAAACCGACTCCGGGAGGCGGGCTCTGTGGACGGATAGGGTCCTGAGCAAATCTGACGAGAAGATGCCGGGGATAGCGGGAGAGGATGTGGAGCGGTGCTAGGAAAAAGGCGGGAGTAAGACGTTGGCAAACAGGAGGTGGGGATCGGCTCAGGGCCAGACGGCTTCTACAAGGGCTACACGTAGAAGGCTTGGCGAATTTAGAGTATCGTCCACTGTTTTTATTCCCTTTTTGTGCCGTGGAGGAGACGTGGCGTGACAGGTCTTTTCTTTCAAGGACGTAGCTAGTGTGGTCGGGGAGGAACAGGGGTAATAAAATGAACTCGGCTCTAGAATTTTGCAGCCTTTTAAAAAGATTAGACCTGAAGGCATTTGGGCGTCTTTAGTATTTCCGAAACAGCCTCTTTTGCTAGTTGAAAATGACAGTCAACCCATCTTTTTGTTTCCTTTTCCCCTACACCTTCAGATTTACAGAGGAAAAAAAAAAAAGACTTAAATAAGACAACTACCTGGGGTTTGCAGTTGATTTCAGGTTTCTGATTTGCCGCTCACTGCGCCCCCGTGTCTGCGCTCGGTGCGCTGGCATCCAGTTCGTGAGCTTCGGGCAAGGGAGCTGGAGGTTTAAATACACAGACACACACAGAGAGAGACAGCGACACGGATCATTCTTGAATTCCCCAAGAATGCCCCCTTTATTGTGTTCAGGGGCAGATTATATAGAGAAAGCCACGCCCCAGCCAAACCCACCAGAATCCACTCTCCTGCCATCAGGAACTCCTGAAGGTCTCGTGCTCAGAGCAGCTGTAGGCACTCAGATCAGGGGATTACAAGAAATTCAGGATCTGGAGTCTTACTGCTCCCAACATCTCCCCCCTAAATTTTTTGTAAAACATAAGACCCTCCTGACCACACAGCCTTTTGGTCACTTTGATTGAACCTGTACTCAGGAGAGAGTAGACAGCATCTCCTCAGGAGAATAGTGGCTTTTAGGGAACACAAGAGAGCAACTTAAGCCTGTAAGACAGGTAGATTCAAGTATCCCAGAGACTGTTGGTTTCTCATACTATTTCCCACACACCTCTTCCCCTCAAGTGAACAGAGGTGTGTGACCATATCAGACTCGCGACTTTTAGGAGTGGCTCTGCCATGACCCCAGGAGCAGTCAGAAACCACTGCTCCTTCAGCAGTCCCCCAAATAACATACCTCAGCTGCCATACCCTGGTGGCACATTCATTCTTGTCAGCTGAGTGCATGGAAGACAGCTTCTTGATCGTTCTTACACCTCTTTGGCTTCCCTAGGAGCCCAGCTGATCCTGTTTCTGCTAAGGAACCCATTGAAGTGTTTCCTAACGAGAAGATGGGGAATAATGTAAGAAATACTGGCAAGAGGTCAGAGAGATGACTCAGCACTTAACAGCACTGCCTGCTCTTCCAGGGGACCCAGGTTCAGTTTCCAGCACCCACATAGCAGCTCATGCCTCTAACTCCATTTCCAGGGTGAATCCTATGCCCTTGTTTGGCCTCCATTGGCACCAGGCTTGCATGCAGGCAAACACACACACACACACCCCTACCTTTTAAAATAAAAAAAAATGGTAAAAAAAAACACAGACACAACAACCATTTATTTTTGTTACAATAAAAACAGGAAACCTCAGTGGAGTCTTCTTCGTGGGCTGAAGAAGCAAGATATCACGCTCGGCTCAGCTCCAAGACTCACATATCCTGAAGGATGTGTGTGGCTCAGAGATAGGTCTCAAAAGAACTTGCCAAAGCAACATATGCCATGGTAGAACCATTTGTACGTGGCTGAAGAGGAAAGGAAGAATCTGGCGGGGGAAGATGGAAACTCTGTGCATCAGAGTTAAAATCATGGGGTCTCACGACAAAGAGGATGGAGACGGTGTGGAAGGCAGTTTAAGGCTGCAAAGCTTTCTCCATCATCAGCCAGAAGCACAGCACATATGCACTGAAGCTGACATGGCTAACACGCTAAGCTTGCCACTAAAAATCTATTATTGTGTGTGGTCTGTAATTAAGCCCAAGAAGACACCCAGCAGTGCATACATAGCAATGAGCAGATGCAGTGTGGTTATTTATAGCACGATGCTTTGGGGAAAGCTGGTGGTGGACACATTTAGATGACATTTATATAGTTATACAAATAGAGGCTTGATTTTGGTCTGTCTTCAGATTTAGGGCTCTGGTGGCAAATGCTGAAGTAATTGGCTCTTTTGGACAACGTTGTGCAATCATTTAACCTCATAGGGCCCTTGTAGCCTGGTAGGTTTTATGGGGAACCAAAACAAGACAGAGTTCTTCAGTAGACTATAAACACAGAATCACTTGCAATGACTTCATTCTGACATTAAGAAATACAGTACCTTTAAAGTTTCACCTCCAAGCCCACAAATTGGCATTTGATTATTCTTGGCCTACTGAGGTAGATGGATAATCATGACATCATACCAAGAAATAAAAATGACCAGAATATCCTATAAATAAATTTCCAAAGAAAATCTTTATTTGTATTTTATGTGCTTGAGTAGTTTGCCTAGATATATGTGCACCGGATGTGTGTAATTCCCTTGGAGGCCAGAAGAGGGCAGCAGATGCCCTGGAACTGGAGTTGTAGATGTGAGCTGGCATTCACGTGCTGGGAACTGAACCCAGGTCCCTTGCAAGAGCAGCAAGTGCTCTTAACTTCTGAGTCATCTCTCTAGCCCTCTATAAATAATCTGAAGAGTAATCTTTTGTTTTTGAGATAGGTTATAATGTATCCCAGCCTGCCTTAAACTCACTATGTAGCCAAGGGATGACCTTGAACTTCTGATCTTTGTACTCAGCAAATCCCCCCCCCCCCAACTCCACAGTGCTGTGATAATAAGTGTTTCACCACTCCTGGGAAAACAAGTTTTGAAATGTGGACTTGCAGTTCTTCAGCTCATATGAATAAAGTGGTCTATGATTTATGTTTTAATAAAGCTTGCCTGAAGATGAGAAAACAAAGCAGGCATTAACTCTTCTACCTCAGACCAAAATGGGCAATCTTGCCTCCACGAATCCTCAGACTAGAACCAAGCCTGAGAGCTGTCTCCTCCTGGTTTATATTCCTCTCTAGTGCTGGCATTAAAGGCATGTATCATCACTGCCCAGCCTCTTATGGCTAGCTACTGTGGTTGCTGGGACTAAAAGTGTGTGCCACTACTTCCTGGCTTGTATGGCTGAATAGTGTGGCTGCTTTGCACTCTGATCTTCAGGCAGGCTCATATACATAAAATAAATACTCCCCAAATTTTAACCTCTGGAGTTTTGTGCATTGTAGGTTGGCTGAGCCATGAAAATTATTATAGTAACAAGCAATATTTTATGCATATTCAGTAATTGCTTTGCACCGAGAGAAAAGCTAAACTCTGAAGTGTAAGCAAGTGATAGGGGAGGGGGAGCCTAGCGAAGACGTGCTTCATTACGAGCGTGCTTTTCCACCCTTTACACTTAAATTAGGTAGTGTTTAAAACTACCTAAGGATAAAGGCCAGGAACCAGGACTGTGGAGATGACTCAGCGGTTAAGAGCACTTGTTCTTTCAGAGGACCCAGGTTCAGTTCCCAGCACACATACAGTGACTTGCAACTGTCTGTAACTCCATTTCCAGGGAATCTGTGTCCTCCTCCTGCCGCCTCAAATACCAGGCATGTACGAGCTATTCAGGTATACATGTACCAAAACCCCCATACACATAAAATAAAAATAAATGCATTTTTTGTTTATTTCATTTTATTTTATGTGTAATGGGTGGTTTTGCCTGAATGTATGCACACATTCAGTTGTGAGCCAATATGTCAGTGCTGGGAATTGAACCTGGGCTGTTGTTGGTTGTTTTCACTCGCTGGCTCTTGTCTCTTTGACTCTTTGAAAGGCCCACCACCCAGCTCCCAAATAAATACACAGAGTCTTATTCTTTCTTATAAATGCCCTGCCTTAGCTTGGCTTATTTCTAGCTAGCTTTTCTTAATTTAAATTATTCCATCTACCTTCTGCTTCTGGGCTTTTATCTTTCTCTATTTCTGTATATTTTACTTCTTTCTCAGTGGCATGTTGTGTAGTTGGGCGGCTGGCCCTGACATCCTCCTCTCCTTGTTCCCTTGCTTCTCTTCTTCCTCGTTTCTCCTTCTCTTTATCCTCTCTGCCTGCCAGCTCTGCCTATCCTTGCTCCTGCCTTGCTATTAAACATTCAGCTCTTTAATTAGACCATCAGGTGTTTTAGACATGTAGCACAGCTTCACAGAGTTAAACAAATGTAACGTAAAAGAATGCAACACATCTTTGCATCATTAAACCAAATGTCCTACAGCATAAACAAATGTAGCTCACCTTAAAATAATATTCTACAGCACTGGGTCCTCAGGGCTTGAGCCACCGTGTACCGCTGAGTGTTCTGTTTTATAGGTGTAGCATAGAGGATTGGTGAGGAGTTGGGGTGCCAGAGCTGTCACCTGGCCTTGACCCTGGGTCAACAGCTGTCATTGGCAGCGACGTCACCACCAGATAAAATCACCCCTCTGTCCTGGTTAGTGGTTCGTTCCCTTTCAATTATGAAAGCAATGAGAAAAGAAAAACCTGCTAACAGGGTGGTGTATAGATTACGATTGAGTTGGTCATCAGTGAAACAACTCTAATCTAACTAATTAATATCCACTTATCAGATCACAGTTCATAGCAGAGTTCAGAAGTCTCCATAGCTGGACATGTGCATGCATTGCAGGCCTGTCTTGAGTATCATCCGAGGCTGATACTTGCTGCTACTGAAAAGAATTTATTAATATAGCGATGACATAGTTTTTAAGGAGCATTCTAGAAAGATCAGTTAGTGAAATCACAGTACCAGCCACAGCTGACAACCCCCCGTTTCTTCCTCTATGATTCATATTTAATGTCACAATTAATATTTAAGGTCTACCGGCTTTTGTGACCGAATAACTTGATGGATAAAAAGGGAGAAGGAATAAATACCTAGGAGTATTTTACATTTACAGTTTCGGTTGGGTCTGAGTGTCTGTGTTGACAGGTCAGAATTAATTCATTCCCATCCCAGCAGGCTCCACTTTGCCCCTAGGCGAAAACACAACCAATTCAGCAGCACATCAGAGAAGGGACCCAAGCATCACAGGCTGTCTCTTTGATCTGCTGTGTTCAACTTTTCATTTCAAAGGCTGAACCAGCAAGCAGAGGTTTCCCCGTCCACCCTTCTCTTTCCCCCTTTAAACTCCCCAGTGGTTGAAGCTCTCTCTCATTAGAGCTAGCTTTCAGAAAACCAGTTGTACTTTTGATTCGGAACTGAAAATGAATGATTTTGAGTGTTGATTTTTTTTTTGACCCAAATATCTACAACTTGAAGATTGAACTTATTTCCCAAAGTCAATCTGATATATGAACAACAGCTCAGCAGGAGAGATTGGAGTTTGGGGTTCGTTGCTGAACCCGAGCCTCCAGATCAAGGCTCCTTCGGATCAGGAGAAAGGAAGATTCAGGTGGGAGCATTTTCCCTGAGGGTGGCCTTGACTGACGTCCCTTGCTTGTTTCTGAGCCATCAGCTGGGCTCTTCATGGCATTGTATGATGGTTATTTGAGGACATAAATAACTTCCTACAAGTGTTACACAGAAAGAAGCCATAGTGTGTTTAAAACAATTACTGGTCAGGAATTTCCAGATTTTCCACCTAATATTGATAACTAGTAATTAATGTCACTTAAAATTATTAACTATAATTATTTAAGATTATTTTAAGCTTTAAATAAAATTGTACATTCATCATTAAGTCAATATTCTTGTCCAGTTCTATGCCAAGCATGATTTTAGGTGCAGATATTTCTTTCTCTTCCTTTCCCGCCTCCTCCACCTTTTCCTTTCTTCTTCCTGTACTGTAGAGGGAACAACTGGTTTGGCCTAGACTACGCCAAATTTATCCCTGAAGATTTGTACCTTCTCCTTTCTAACACACATATGCATGCATGTATACACAAACATGCAATGCATGTACCACATACATGCTCACACATGTGCATGCACATGTACACACACACACACCCCTCTATTCACAGGAATGTCAATCATCTCTGTTTCTGTGGAAACAACTTCAGACCCTCCAAAAGGGAAAAAGTGTTAAGTTTAGAATTTTATGACCCATTTCTATTCAGAGTTACACACCTGCAAGGAACTAAAACCAGGTGCTCACACAAATACTAAAACCAAAAGACCTTCACCGAGGCAACTCAGACACACACAGCCATGGCTCTCTTGTCCCATATTTCTTCTGCTCACTGTGTCTATTAGATTACTCTATGTTGCTGTGCAAATTAGTAGCTGTTTCTTCTTAGAGGGGTCTGGTTTTCACTGTCAGGATGGCAAAGCTTATGAATTTTATGTTGAAGGATACCTGGATGTCTTCTAGTTTGAAATGATTCTACACTGATCAGCTATGAACACTTCTGTATACGTTTTGGGTTGGTTTCTGTTTGTTTGTTTTTCTGATACACGGTCTCACGTAGCCCAGACAGGTCTTGAACTCACTATGCTGTCAAGGGTGAAGGGTGACTCTGAGCTCTGATCCTCCTGCATTAAGGCCAGCAAAGCAAAGGAGTTTTAATTATTGTCAACATTTGATGTTGGCAATCTTTTGAAAGCTTACCCATTTGGAGTGGGGGCTGGGCTGTGTCTAGTCACAGCTTGCATGTATCCGGTGACTAATTATGTCGAGCACATTTGACTGTTTTAAAAGATTTAGATCTATTTTATGTGTGTGAGTGTTTTGCCTGAATGTGTGTATGTTCATCACAAGTGTGTAGTGCCTGCCCTTGGGGGCCAGAATCAGATCTTCTGGAACTGGAGTTATGGGCCATTGTAAGCTGTCACGTGGGTGCTGGGAATGGAACCTGGGTCCTCTGGAAGAGCAAGTGCTCTCGACCATTGAGTAATCTCCCAAGCCCTGCTTTGAATATTTTTATTGGCTATTTTGCTATTCCTTCAAAAAATTGTCTTCACAAGTTTTTGTGCATTTTTTAAAACTCAGTCACCACTTACCTTTAAAATGGGAAAATTGATTTCCTGGTGCTCTGTGGAGTGGGGCAGTAGTTGCAGCATGTGTATGCGCTGATGCATTGGGGCAGTAGCTGCAGTGTGCATATGCACTAATGCATTGGGGTAGTAGCTGCAGTGTGTGTATGCGCTGATGCATTGGGGCAGTAGCTGCAGCGTGTGTATGCGCTGATGCATTGGGGCAGTAGTTGCAGCATGTGTATGTGCTGATATGTTGGGGCAGTAGCTGCAGTGTGTGTATATGCTGATGCACTGAGCGACAAATGTTTCTAGCACTTTTTGGAAATTGGAAGAAAATGACGAAGC